GCAGTGGATATCAGTACGTGATGTTGCAGAAAGCGGAAAAGCACATGAGAGCATAAATGCTCAAGCTGACAGGACACCACACAGTCGGCTCAAAAGAGCGTCAATACATCTGCCCAGACAGAGTCCAAAAGCTCGTTCAAATCTGAGTTGTTCATAGTTTTGCCAGATTCTATGCGCGTTTGGGATGATAATTTTTTCCGCCTCCCTTGTCGGCATTGGGAGCTGTATCGCTGCTTGAAGTCTTTGACTTGCCAACCTGTAGCTATTGTAGAATTGTCGCAGCCAAAGGCAAACAGCCAATTGCCGAGGCCAAGCAACTCATCCCAAGCACAGAAGGCAGGGATACCGGGATACCCATAGGCGATAGGTGCTTTCCTCATGAGCTTTTGCTTAGTTGAATGAGCTGTGAAGCATAGTGCTGCAGTTTTGAGTCCTTTGCCATGTGGCAACGCCATCACCAAACGACAAGATCACCCCATGTTTGAGGCTAGGCAAACTGAGGGGCAATCTTGATACTTGTACCCAGCACCTCAACCTTGGGAATGACAATGAGTGTACATTGCAGGTCGTTTGTTTGGGGATTCCTTGCCCATGTTGAGATAAACAAGAGGAGCGTTGTCCAATTGTCCAATGGGTGCGTGTTCAGGAGGAAACCAACCAGCAGCCCTCAAACGAACAGACAGACGATGCAGCAAATGCCGAGGAGGTTCGCCCAGTCAGTTGTATTGCTCAGCCCGTGCAGCGGCTTTGTATCGCTTATTGTGTTGCTGTGTCCACTGACATGAATTCAATCCGTGCCAGGATGGTGCGGACGAGAATGGCGGGGTGCTCTGAGATGCTGGATTGTGCAGATGTAAATGCATACACGCGCACAAACACACACACATGTTCATATGTTCTTGCCCGAGAGCACTCTGAGGATTGTCTGCAAAGTCAAAGACTGCAGCATCTGCAAGATCAGCAGATGGAGAAGACGAAAGAGGAGATGAAGAGGACATGTCCCGTCACCAAGCACTTGGCAAGCACATTCAATCTATATAAACACCTATATATATGTGCAAATTCTCGCAGTGGATATCAGTACGTGATGTTGCAGAAAGCGGAAAAGCACATGAGAGCATAAATGCTCAAGCTGACAGGACACCACGCGGTCGGCTCAAAAGAGCGTCAACACATCTGCCCAGACAGAGTCCAAAAGCTCGTTCAAATCTGAGTTTTTCATAGTTTTGCCAGATTGTTTGAGATGATAAATTTTTCCGCCTCCCTTGTCGGCATTGGGAGCTGTATTGCTGCTTGAAGTCTTTGACTTGCCAACCTGTAGCTATTGTAGAATTGTCGCAGCCAAAGGCAAACAGCCAATTGCCGAGGCCAAGCAACTCATCCCAAGCACAGAAGGCAGGGATACCGGGATACCGATCGGCGATAGGTGCTTTCCCCATGCGCTTTTGCTTAGTTGAATGAGCTGTGAAGCATAGTGCTTCAGTTTTGAGTCCTTTGCCATGTGGCAACGCCATCACCAAACGACAAGATCACCCCATGTTTGAGGCTAGGCAAACTGAGGGGCAATCTTGATACTTGTACCCAGCACCTCAACCTTGGGAATGACAATGAGTGTACATTGCAGGTCGTTGGTTTGGGGATGCCTTGCCCATGTTGAGATAGACAAGAGGAGCATTGTCCAATGGGCGTGTGTTCAGGAGGAAAACGACCAGCAGCCCTCAAACGAACAGACAGACGATGCCGAGGAGGTTCGTCCAGTCAGTTGTATTGCTCAGCCTGTGCGCGGCTTTGTATCGCTTATTGTGTTGCTGTGTCCACTGACATGAATTCAATCCGTGTCAGGATGGTGCGGACGAGAATGGCGGGGCGCTCTGAGTTGCTGGATTCTGTAGACGTGATCGCATACACGCACACACACACACATGTTCATATGTTCTTGCCCTACAGCACTCTGAGGATTGTCTGCAAAGTCAAAGACTGCAGCATCTGCAAGATCAGCAGGTACGACTCAAAACACCTCGAGCGTTGCAGGGACGAAGGACAAGTCAGCTAGTGAAGATGAAGGTGGAGAAGACGAAAAAGGAGATGAAGAGGACATGTCCCGTCACCAAGCACTTGGCAAGCGCATTCAATCTATATACCTATATATATATATATGTGCGAATTCTCGCAGTGGATATCAGTATGTGATGTTGCAGAAAGCGGAAAGCGCATTAGACCATAAATGCTTGAGTTGACAGGACACCACACAGTCGGCTCAAAAGAGTGTGAACACATCAGCTCAGACGGGGTCCAAAAGCTTGTTCGAATCTTAGCTTTCCGTGATTCAGTGGGATGATCGTTGAAGCTTTTTGCAGTCCTCATTTCTTAGCGGCATTGAGTGATTCCTCTCAGTTGATGACGTCTCCTTCTGCGTCGGGCGCAGATGGACTCCACCCTTCATGTAGAGAACTGGATTAGCTCCGCAGACTCTGAGTTCGCGTTGCTTTCATCAAGAGATTGTTATGGACAGACATTTCCCACAGTATTGACTCTGCTCATTATTTGAATTGTGTTTTGCAGGATTCACATCGCAGGTCTGACCAGTTTAGTGCTGCCGGAAATCACGCTGTCACTGCCCCTTTTGGCCACGTGTATAGTTCCCACAACATCGTGTCTCGATGACCCAAAGTGTCTCCAGACTTCTCTCTGTGATGATGGAAACGTTGTCTCCCACTCGTTGTCCCGGAATTGGCTGGACAGGAAGACGCACAGCCTGCCACAGTATCCTGCGTGCGGTGTTTAAGCGCTTGCATACCCTATCCTGTCGAAGATTTCTTTCATAGGCTCCACGTCCTCTCCCCCTTTGTCGCTTTCTTTAATCTTCTTCGGGGTCCACTCTGTATCTGACTTGTTGCCATTGCATTGCAGGATGGTGGTGAGTTTGAGAGTTTGGGAGATAATTGACATGTGTAGGACCAAGAAGTCTTGGAGCTGGGCCAAATTGACACCTAGGCCCAGCAACTCATCCGATTCAACGCAAAAGGCGGGATGTGCGTGTGTTGGGTTTGGTTTGGCACTCAAGGTGGAGTTATGGGACACACAAAGAATGTTATGTGCAAGAAAAGAGAGGAGAGGGGGATAGAAAGACGGGAGGAGGAAGAGAGTGAAAGAGAGGGACACTTCACAGACCCAATCAAGAAGTTGGGAATTTAGCGACATGCTTCTTCCAATTGGTTGGAAGAAGCATGTTGAATGGCTGCGGCTATGCGGGCTCGGAGATGACTCCGGTTTGCATGTGAGCTTGTGCAGAATAGGAGAGTCTCGAACCAACTCTGATTGGCCTGTGTACTTTGCTATGCAAGACCCTCCAACCTTTTTTGGTTTCCACGGACATGTCACATTCGGAATCCGCAGCAACCCACCAAGTGGAAATGGTCGCTGCAAGCCTTTTGCGAGTACTGACGATGGCCCGAAAGACATCCCTCCCCAATGCATATCTTTGGCATTCTTCTTTCTGCTTTCCAGCTACAACGTATCTTGCGCACTTTGGACCAGGAAAGTGAAGATGAGTCTGCAGAGGCATATGAATCTGTTTGTGATTTCATCTTCTCGTGCGGGCAAACGACGGAGTCCAAGGGATCAGCCTTCAGAAATGGCACCTCTTCAAAGACGGAGTCCGAGGCCCGTGTCAACAGTCAAGGAGTTTGGTGTCGCGACGGTGTTGCGCAGGTTGAGCCTTCGGAAGGTATCTTCAAAGTGAAGGCCGGAGGCTTTCTTTCTTTCTTTCTTTCTTTCTGTCTTTTTTTTCTTTCTTTTTTCTTCAAAATGAAGGCACATGTGTATACTTTATTTGAAGTAAACTGCTTGCTGCGGTGACTTGTTGGCAATGGTTGGTGGTCATATAATATATAATTAGAATAGATTATGTATAACCATATATATATATATTTGGCAACAATCAGTCAGATAGATAGATAGATGTTTAGATATACACATATAGGCACTGTATATATATATGCATAAACACAACAGAACACAACACTAACATACCGAGCTCGCACTTCTCAAATTGCACAACGCGGAGGCGAGTGGGCAACCAGATACATTGAATGATGGCCTTGATCCAGGCGTTTGCACCACTTGCAGCTTTCTGCGCAACTCCTTGCAATGCTTTGAGCCAGCTAGGGGCCTCCTGGAAGCACTCACCTGGAGCCTTTCCGATGGAAAGGCCAACACAGGACAGCGGGCTTTGCAAGGAATCTCCACAAGTAAACCGACGTCAAGCAGCAACATGCCGACATTGACATGAAGATGGCACGCTGCTTTTCTATCAAGAGGACCTCGACGCTCTCAAGAGGAAGAAGACTGGCGCCTCGAGCATTGGCTGCTTGGCTCAGAGTTATTTGTCCTGATTTTGGGTTTGCTTGAGTCAGAAGTGCAGGTGTAGATGTTAATGGTCCCACCAGTGCGAAGTCGTTTGCCCACGCTGGTGATGGCAAAGAGGCTTCGGAGCCCGATTGCCGTTGAAGGGGGAAAGTGCTTTCCTCGTCGACTAAGCGCTGATTCTTGCATCGTCATGCAGTCCTTATTTCTATTTACTGTATTTACTAATTGTACCTATTTTTATGGGGTACTACTGTAAACATATGGACGAAACCCTTCAAAGACATCTTCTCAAACAAGCCAATAAGTAAAGCGGGGCCAATCGCCATTGAGTTCTGAAAAAGGAACGAAAAAGGAGAGGAAGAAAACCATGTAAAGGCCCTTTTTGAGAAGCCATATTAAATGGCCCCAAGTTTTCACTCACTCTTTTTACTCCGAGAAATCCGTTTAGTCCAATCCAACGTTCATCCAAGGCCCTTTAGGCCTCACTCACATCCCAAGTTGATCAGCACGAAAACAACAAGGATGACGTCATGCCTCCGTCCAAGCGTTCAGTCACTTCCGGCTCTTTGCGGAGCCAATGCAACTTGCCTACGATTGGGATAATCAGAGAAGAAAAGGTTTGGACTGGAAGAACCCTAGCTGACCATAAAGTAGACGCAAATAGTAATCGCAAAAAGTTCATGTTGCACATGAATTCAACGCCGCTCAAAGCAATCTGTGCTGAACTGTGAGCCATTTTCAAGATTGTTGTTGTCGTCTTTTGCTGCACAAAAGGGTCGAACTTGACGTTTGAAACACCCATGTCAAAGGTATGGCCGCACACATTTATGATCTTAACTTGTCCTTGCAACAGCACATGTTCATTGAGCTTTGAGCCGACACCATGCAGAGAGAATAGTGACATAGAATTTGGTTGTTTTGATGAGTTGCACATGTGAGTGAACATTTCAATCATGTGTCAATGTGCCATTCTGTTTGCAGGGCCAGATGGGTCAGAGACGTGGGTCAGCCGTTGATGCTGAAGGACAATGCAGAATTTCTTTTTCGACAAATGCTTGTTTGCAATTGGATCAGGACATATTGAAAAGACGCAGCTTCGAGAGGACAGCTGTTTGGAAATCAAGGGGCAGAGGACGATTCGGTTTCGGTCGATTCGGGTCCTTCGAATCCTTGTGTCTTTCAGGAGCGGAAGCCCAATCTGGCGTCACTGAAGGACCGGCTTCCTTTAAGCTTCTAGCCGCATGACGAGATGCACCTTTTGCAGGATGCTGAGGAAAAACTCCGGGATGATCTTGAGCAGTTGAAGAAGCTTGAAGAGGCAAGACTGGCAGGTGAAAGACGTGGAGTCCGGAAACTTGAAGGCAAACGTGCAACTTTTGCGGACTCTTCCGAGGCCCTCAAAGTGGAAATCTCGGAGCTCCTTGGCAGTTGAAATCTCCTTGCGGACGAGATTCTCCCCGCCGAAAGTCAATTTGCGGAGAGTGTAGTGAAGCCGTGAAAGCCGTGGGATGATGCGGGATGAGAGCAGGAACCCACGATTTCTGAGGAAATCTAAAGCAGAACAAGGCCACCAGAAGACCCAGGCGCAAGAGAGATGGAGATGCTCTCAAGGACTTTTCAAAAGAGCTCAATACTGTACTGTACTATACGTGAGAATGATAGCCTGTTGAAGAGCGGTAGGAGAGCAGCCTGAGTTGAAACCGATTAAGCATTCATTCAACCGTTTTTATTAAGACTTACGAAGTCAATGGGGTTCTTTGCCTTTTGCATCATTTACGATGGTGTTGTCAAGCATGTTTGCTGAAGGCAGAGCACCTTTATAAAGGAACGAAGACGACAGAACACCACAAGCTTCTTGCCTGTATCTAAAAGCCGGTTTTATTGCTCGCATTGCGACGGGCATATTCCTTTTATTTCAAGCATCCACTTGAGGAAGCGCCACACAAAGCACAAGCATTCAAAGGTGCAACAGGCTTTGCATCCTTCTGAACACAATGGTATCAAGATGTCTCAAGGATTTCATGCTTACTTGAGTCCTAAGAATGCATTGACAGAGTCAACGTTGCGATGTGTTTGTTAAGTTCGATTCCCCTGTTTTGAAGTTGTTGCATTTTACCAGGCGGTGTCTCTCATTGATTTGGATTCTACAGACGACTTCGACCTTGAGGAGTCACAGGACACGCGTATGAGGGGCTGCAAAGCATACATTTCAATATGCGAAGTTCACAGGCTAGCAGTCATTATATATATATATACTGTATTATATCATATTATATTTGCTATAAGGATTTGCGATAGCCAATGATTTGGGATGAACGATGTGTGGAATGAAGTTGAACCATTCAGGAAAAGGAAAGAAGACACGACGTAAGCAAAACAGAAAGATCCCCAAAGGTCTAATTGGAGAAAAAGGAAACAACAAGAAAATGACTCAGTACTGTAAAAGAAATTGAATCTTCATGGCTCTTCTAGCGCACAAGCCGACACACCACATTAGCTCTACATCCAGGAGTCCCAGTCCATGCGGATCCAGGCCCTGGCTGCTGCGGCTCGCAAAGTGGCATTGGAAGCTGTGGAGGACTGGAAAATTGCGAAAGTTCGCCCATCACCCAGTGATACTCTGCGAATCTGTGGACCACTCTTCGAAAGGATTTCTTTCGAAAGGGGATGAAGTGGGATGGAGATAGGTGAACGTGTGCATTCCTGGCACTCATGTACACTCGTATAGTGCAACATAGTGCAACAAATAATGTAGCTCTTCCTTTCATGGTGGATACGTTGGGGTAACGTAGGGTTTTTTCCATCACTACATTATCAGTCGAATGTGCTTGGTGCTTTTCATAGAGGAAGTGCAGACGAGTATGAGTATGGGCACCATGTCCTCGGAACAGCGCTTGAGCACCAGGCCTCCGCTTAGCGACGGGAAACAACGTATGAGTTTGGTGGAGTTTTAACAGAGGTGCTACTAGAAGTTGCCTGCCTCCTTCAGACCAGGAAAGTGGCTCTGGAATCAGTTCAGGCTGCCATAGCCAAAGAGGCACAGCCACGCCACAGTCTTTTTTGCTGTGTGCAACATCGCTGCAAGGTGCAAAAGCAGGAATCCCATGAGAAGGAGGAGGGAGACATGAAGAAACGTAACACCGAAACCACATGAATTCCCTTCACACTTTTCAGGATTCGATAGGTTCTTGCAACATCTTTTTCATGTTTTCTGAAAAGCCAACATTTAGAATAGACTACACAAGTAACTAGAGAAGGGGTGTTTTCAACAAAGTGACAGGTGGAGAAGCTGTCCTCGAAACTGCTCCACGGTGAGTCCCAGACAGCTCGCGAGGTGGCAGTTGTGCTTGAATGAATGGTTCTCGTTCAGACACAGTGTTCCGTAACGTGGTCTGTCCCAGGCAGCACTGTCTGAGAAAGTTAAAGAGCTCAAGGCCAGCCAGATCCATTTCATTGGTACCTCCAACCTACTAGCAAATGGAACCTAATAGCTATGGCCTCCAACCTAATAGCTATGGCCTCCAACCTAATTGCGACGGCCTCCAACCTAATTGCGACGGCATCCAACCTAATAGCGATGGCCTCCAACCTAAGAGCGACGGCCTCCAACCTAAGAGCGATGGCCTCCAACCTAAGAGCGACGGCCTCCAACCTAGTAGCGATGGCCTCCAACCTAATAGCGATGGCCTCCAACCTAAGAGCGATGGCCTCCACCTAGTAGCGATGGCCCCCAACCTAAGAGCGATGGCCTCCAACCCAAGAGCGATGGCCTTCAACCTAAGAGCGATGGCCTCCAACCTAAGAGCAATGGCCTCCAACCTAAGAGCGATGGCCTTCAACCTAATAGCGATGGCCTCCAACCTAAGAGCGATGGCCTCCAACCTAATAGCGATGGCCTCCAACCTAAGAGCGATGGCCTCCAACCTAAGAGCGATGGCCTCCAACGATGGCCTCCAACCTAATAGCGATGGTCCAACCTAATAGCGATGGCCTCCAACCTAAGGGCGACGGCCTCCAACCTAGTAGCGATGGCCTCCAACCTCAGAGCGATGGCCTCCAACATAAGAGCGATGGCCTCCAACCTAATAGCGAAGGCCCACAACTTAAGAGCGATGACCTCCAACTGAATAGCGATGGCCTCTAACTAAGAGCGACGGCCTCCAACTGAATAATGATGGCCTCTAACTCTGAGCGACGGCCTCCAACCTAAGAGCGATGGCCTCCAGCCTAAGAGCGACGGCCTCCAACCTAATAGCGATGGCCTCCAACCTGAGAGTGATGGCCTCCAACATAAGAGCGATGGCCTCCAACCTAATAGCGAAGGCCTCCAACCTAAGAGCGATGGCCTCCAACCTAAGAGCGATGGCCTCCAACCTAAGACCTAAGAGCGATGGGCTCCAACCTAATAGCGATGGTCTCCAACCTAAGAGCGACGGCCTCCAACCTAGTAGCGATGGCCCCCAACCTAAGAGCGATGGCCTCCACCTAGTAGCGATGGCCTCCAACCTAAGAGCGATGGCCTCCAACCTAAGAGCGATGGCCTTCAACCTAAGAGCGATGGCCTCCAACCTAAGAGCGATGGCCTCCAACC